CACACCAAAATTATCAAATACATACCAAACATTCACGATGGAACCAGAAAACAATTATATGGTGGTTTACGAGGGTGGAGAACACAATGAAGTATGTTTTAACCGTTTATTTTTGCTTTTTGGGCGTTTTTTTCTGTTGGAAAAAAAATTCGATGATACCACAAATCGGTCTGTCAACACCGATTTTTCTTACTCAAGTCGGTGACCTCATGCCGATTTGTACAGCAAAAATCGGTTTTTAAGTACCGATTTTTATTAAAATAATCGGAATGTGGTTACCGACTTTAGTAACAAAAATCGGTGTTTACAGACCGATTTTTGGTATCGTCGAATTTTTTTTCCAACAAAAAAAAACGCCCCAAAAGCAAAAATAAACGGTTAAAACATACTTCATTGTGTTCTCCACCCTCGTAAACCACCATATAATTGTTTTCTGGTTCCATCGTGAATGTTTGTTATGTATTTGATAATTTTGGTGTGTAGGGTTTCTTGGTGGGTTTGTGAAGAAGAAGGAGAAGAATGAGGAGATTTTTAAGTTGTGAAATAAGGAAGAGGGGTTTCTGGATTTATGTATTTTATTTGGTCTTGCACAAAGGAAATGATTTTTTTTTTTTTTTTTTAATGTTTTGTGTTTTTTTATTTGGTTTTAAATTTCATTAAGGGTATATTAGTATTTTTATGTTGAGGGTCTTGAACTAATAAAAAAATGGGCTTGCATATAACCGCCGTCAAAACTTATACCGCAAAAAAACTTCAATTTAAAATTAAGAAGTTTTCTTATTTATTAAACTTCAACAATAAGAATTATAAAATAGTAATAGTACGTAAAATTTTATAAATTTGAAGAATGTGAGATAAAATAGTAGTAGTACGTAAAATTTTATAAATTTGTATTTTAAGTTTTGACGTTTTTTATATTTTATTTAGCATTAAGAAAATAAGAATTACAATTAAATATATATATTTATTAATAAAAAAAGTCGGTTGATCGACGACCAACTGACTTTTGAGTAAACTGAAAACAAACGATTAACCTATTTATATATGCATCGATTAAAATTATCGGTATAACTATATAGGTCGGTTTATTTATTGGTTGTCAACTAAAAATAATGGGTCGGTTGACCGATAAACCCGACCCAGGCCCAGTCCTAAACACGTGTACCATTTTATTTGGATATAAATTTAAATTGTCTACACTTGCTTCAACCTTCAAAATATAACAAAATTATCAACACCACTCTCTAGCTGATTTCAATTAAAAATAATTTCATCTAAAATCGGCTTAAGACACAAGCTGATTTCAAGTAATTTTAAAAAGGGGGCAACTAAAACAAATTCCAAATTTTTCTCACTTCAGTACCTCCAAGTTTAAAACCATTTTTTATACAAGCTCTTATAACTTTTTCTTAGTTTAAAACCATAAATAAAAAAAATTGTTACCAAAGTACAAAAACGCCCTTCATCAACCAAAATACAATTTATACAAATAAATTTTTTATTCCTCACTTCAATACCAAGGAAAAAAAGAAAAACAAATCCTCTCTTCTTCTCGCCAAACTCAAATCCCTTAAACCCTATCTTCTTCATCTTCTTAAATCCTCCAAAACATCTCCAAATTCAAAAAATCAAAACCTCACAAAACTTATAAAATGGAGTTATAAGACAATAATATGGTAGTATAATATGTCCATGTTTTTTTTGAGCTTCGAAGTCGATTTTGAAGTTTTTTTGTTTTGAAACCCGCCGGCAATTTTCGACACATACAGTTCGATTTTTTGGTCAATTTTCGACACCAACTTGTCGAAAAATATATATATAAAAAAAAAACAACTTTCGACACATACCTGTCGAAATTTCTCCCAATTTCGACAGGCATGTGTCGAAAAAACAATGTCGGTAAATTTTCGTACATGGCAACTTGTTACCAATAGTGTTGTCCGACACATACCTGTACGAATTGGGAGAAATTTCGACAGGTATGTGTCGAAATTTGTTTTTTTTTTTTTTTTTTTTCTAAATATATTTTTCGACACGTT